GCTCCTGGGAAGAAGAGGAGAGAGTGGTTAGCGGCGATTGGAGTGGAAGGGAGTGGAAGGTAGTGGAAGGGAGTGGATAGGAGTGGAAGGGAGTGGATAGGAGTGGAAGGGAGTGGTTAGCGGCGATTGGAGTGGAAGGGAGTGGAAGGGGGGGGGGAGGGGGAGGAGAACGGAAGAGAAGAGAGGACAATGCACATGAAAAAAATGGAAGAGGTGAAGTGCAAATAAAAAGGAGGAGGGGAAAATACAGATAAAAGAGGGAAGAGGTGAAATAGGGGAAGGGAGGGGAGGAGGAGGGATATGGGGGAAGGGAAGAAGGGGGGGAGAGGGAAGAAGGGGGGGGGGGGGAGCATAATGATCAGTGATGGTTGAGGGGAATTCGGGAAAATCGTTGCAGTTTATCTTATTATAGAAAAGAATCTAAATTGATTATAAAAAAAATAGTAACGATAATATCAATAACAAAAACAGTAATAATAATGATAATAATAATAATAATAATAATAATAATATTATTATTATTATTATCATAATGATGATGATGATGATGATGATGATAATAATAATCATAACAATAACAATATTAATGATAATAATAACAAAAACAGTATCATTAATACAACTACTAATAATAACAATAATAATAATAAAACAATAACAACTATAACAACAACAGACAACAAAAACAACAACACAAGGCAACAACAACAACAGTTATAACAACGAACAAAAGAACAACACGAAGCGCAAGGATATTCCCACGCAGACAACGGTCGACAATTTAAGTAAAAGAAAATTGAATAAAATTAATATAAACAGAATATTTCTTCCGTCGTGATTCGAAAAGATAATTAAAATATATATGTTGTGTATTTTTTCTTCTCGCTTGAAAATTGTTTTGACAATATTACGACAATTTTATGTTTCTTTTTCTTGCGAAATATTGCAGTACAAATTGCAAAACATGATATCAAAGAGGTCATTACGCATAAAATAATTTATTCTTGTTAAGAAAGATGAGAATATTAGCAAAAAATATATGAAAAGAAATGTGCAAGGAAGATGAAACTGATTTCTGCTGGCGACATGTGGCAGTTCATCCTCGTCGGGCGGGAAAACTGCGATTTTTCCCTTGTCTTCAATTACTCTTTCTCTTTCTCTTTAGCTTCATTTCTCCATCTCTTTCTCTATTTCTTATTCTTTCTTTCTTTCTTTTCCCTCTCCTTTCACATCCCTCCCTCTCCCTTTCCCTCCCACTTCCTCTCCCTTATCAACTCCCTCTAAATCTCCCTCTCCCTCTCTTCCTCCCTCCTCCTCCCCCTCTCCCTCCCCATTCTTCTTCCTCTCCCTCAACCCCCCCTCCCTCCCCCTTCCACTCCCTCTCGTTCATTAACTCCCACTCCCCCCTCCTCCGTCTCCCTCTCTTCCACCTCCTCTCCTTCTCTTCCTCCCTCCCCCCTTTTTCCTCTCCCTCCCTCCCTCTCTCCCTCCCTCCCTCCCTCCCTCCCTCCCTCCCTCCCTCCCTCCCTCCCTCCCTCCCTCCTTCCCTCCCTCCCTCCCTCCCTCCCTCCCTCCCTCCCTCTTCCTCTCCCTCCCTCCCTCCCCTCCCTCTTCCTCTCCCTAATCAGCCACTTCAATCGGTCGCGTCACTTTCGGTTCCTTGCGTTTCCGATCTTTTCTTTTCTTTTCTTTTCTTTTCTTTTCTTTTCTTTTCTTTTCTTTTCTTTTTTTCTCTTTTTCTCTTTGTTTCTGCTTTCGTTGTTTTTGTTTGTTTTGGAGGGGGTTGTGCTTGTGCTTTGGTTTTGTTGTTGTCGTTGTTTATATATTGCTGTTTCGTGTTGTGTTGTTGTGTGGTGGTAAGACAGACAGACAAACAGACAGACACACACACACACACACACAGAGGGAGAGGGGGGGGGGAGAGAGAGAGAGGGAGAGAGACAGAGAGAGAGAGAGAGAGAGAGAGAGAGAGAGAGAGAGAGAGAGAGAGAGAGAGAGAGAGAGAGAGAGAGAGAGAGAGAGAGAGCGAGAGAGAGAGAGAGAGAGAGAGAGAGAGAGAGAGAGAGAGAGAGAGAGAGAGAGAGAGAGAGAGAGAGAGAGAGAGAGAGAAGAGAGAGAGAGAGAGAGCGGGCGAGGCAGCGCGTCGCCGACCGGTAACCGGATCTGACCGGCGTACTTGCGGCGGCGAGGTCCCGCGTGCGGCTGTCGCAGTCTCGTGGACTCGAGTCCCGTGACACGCCGTGAGCGCACGCACGCATGCACGCACACACGGACATAACGGTTACGCTTACTCAGAGAAATATAAAACAAATCATAAAAATAACACAGAAATATAACACATACACGTCAGTGCCTGTAAGTATACACACATACAGACACCACCACCAAAATAAAAACAACAATAGCAACAACAACGACAACAACAACAAAACAACAACAACAACAACAGGAGCAGAAACAAGCGAGTCCCCACCTGTAGAAACTAAAAAAAAAGTCCTTCTCAGAAAAGACCCAAACGTACCCTACCTCCCCCCCCCTCTTACCCTCCCCCTCTGTCCATTTTCTCTTCTTATCCCTCTTTTCGCTCTTCCCCTCTCTTCCTCTTCCCCTTTCGCTTTTCCCCTATTTTCCTCTTCTCCTTTCCCTCTCCTCTCGCTTTTTTTCTCTATCCCTCTCAATTTATTCCCTCCTTCCCTTCTTATCCGTGCCCCCCCCCCTCCCTTTTGATTTTCTTTCTTCTCTTCCCTTTCCTTTCCCCTTTCCTCCCTCGTCCAAGAGTTATCCTACTTCTTCTTTTCCCCTCTACCTCCTTTCTTTTCTTTTCTTCTCTTCTCTTCTCTTTTTTCCTCTTCCCTTCTCTTCCCCTTCCCTTTCCCTTCGCGTTCCCTTCTCCATCTCCTTCTCTTCCAACCTCCTCCTTTCATCCTCCCCCTCTTCCCCTCTCTCCCCTTCTTCCCTCCTTCCCCTCTTCCCCTCCCCCTCTTCCCCTCTCCCCCCTTCCCTCCCTCCTCCTCCTCTCCTCCTCCTCTTCCCCTCTCCCCCCTTCTTCCCTCCTCCCCCCCTTTCCCTCCCTCCTCCTTCCTTCTCACCCTCCCCCTCTTCCCTCTTCCCCCTTCCCTCCCTCCTCCTTCCTTCTCACCCTCCCCCTCTTCCCCCTTCCTTCCCTCCCTCCTCCTCCTCTCACCCTCCTCCCCCTCTTCCCTCTTCCCCCCCTTCCCTCTCTCCTCCTTCCTCCTTCCTTCTCCTCCTCCCCTCTTCCCTCTCTCCTCCTTCCTTCTCTCCTCCTTCCTTCTCCCCTCGGCCTACTACAAGAATTCCCTTCGCTTCCCTAGGCCTCCTGAATGTTTTTAATTAGGCCTAAATAAATATAATTTCACTCGCTGCGTCATGAGGTATGCGCGTGAGGACAGAACCGGCGTACTGTACGTGGGTTTGAGTTTGGAAAAGTATACTGTGTCAACATGTGTGTTTGTTTGCTGTGTTTTAGGGTTTGTTTGTTTGTTTGTTTGTTTGCTGGTGCTGTGTTGCGTGTGAGTGTGTTTGTTTGTTGTGTGTTTGTTTGCTTGTGTTGTGTGTGCGTGTGCTTGTTTGTTGTGTGTTTGTTTGTTAGCTTGATATGTTGCGTGTGTGTTTGTTTGTTGCGTGTGCGTTTTTTTGTTGCTAGCTTGATATGTTGCTTGTATGTATTTGCTGTGTGTCTGTTTGCTATGTTGCGTGTGTGTTTGCTTGTTTGAAAGAAAGGGTATTCACACCTAAAAGCACCTTCCTCTTGCTTTCCTGACCCCCCTCCCTCCCTCCCTCCCTCCCTCCCTCCCTCCCTCCCTCCCTCCCTCCCTCCCTCCCTCCCTCCCTCCCTCCCTCCCTCCCTCCCAGAGAAAGAAGAGGAGGAGAGGAGGAGGAGGAGGAGGAGGAGGAGAGGGAGAAGAAGGAGGAGGAGGAGAAGAAGGAGAAGAAGGAGAAGAAGGAGAAAGAGAAGGAGAAAGAGAAGGAGAAAGAGAAAGAGAAAGAGAAAGAGAAGGAGAAAGAGAAAGAGAAAGAGAAAGAGAAAGAAAGAGAGGGAGAAGGAGAAAGCGAAGGAGAAAGGGAAAGAGAAGGAGAAAGAGAAAGAGAAAGAGAAGGAGAAAGAAAGAGAGGGAGAAGGAGAAAGCGAAGGAGAAAAAGAAAGAGAAGGAGAAAGAGAAAGAGAAGGAGAAAGAGAGGGAAGAGAAAGAAAACCAAAATACTTATGTCAGGACTTCCCCTTGTGTCATGTTTTTTTTTGTTTTTTTTTTTACTTTCGTTCTCTTTCTCAGAAACAGCTGTTGTATAAATAAATATACGGATAATTGATTAGATAGAGAAATAAACACGCGTATGTATGTGTATATCTACACGTGCACACAGACACAAAGAACACATCCATACATACACACACACACACACACACACACACACACACACACACACACACACACACACACACACACACACACACACACACACACACACACACACACACGCACACACACACACAAACACGCAAACACACACACACACACACACACACACACACACACACACACACACACACACACACACACACACACATATATATATATATATATATATATATATATATATATATATATATATACATACATAGACATATATACACATACTTACAAACATAAACACGCGTACAAATATTCGTGCAGAATGATAAAAAGTCTCCCACTTTGCAATGCAAAGACCTCCCTGTAAAACTACTCTCATTCGGGAATAAAATGAGCAGAATGTGCAACGTTTTATGAGGATGTCGTCTGCGGAAATTAATAAAATGAATTAGATGGTGTTCGGGAGGTTATATCATTTGGATGTTTTTATTTTTGATAATTTTGAAATAATTATCTTTTAAAAGGAAAGGAAAGAGAGAGAGAGAGAGAGAGAGAGAGAGAGAGAGAGAGAGAGAGAGAGAGAGAGAGAGAGAGAGAGAGAGAGAAAGAGAGAGAGAGGGGGGTGGG